CCCACAAGTCTCGAGGGGAGGGTGGGAGGCCGGGTGGCGGGTTAGTGGTCCTATGCACCCCGAAAAATCCTCAAGGGGGCTGGTCAGGGCTGGATATAGGGTGGCTGGTGGGTCCTTTAGACCCTGTAAGCCTCAAGGGTGAGGCCTGGGTGTGGGGTCAGTGGTCCTACTGCCCCCCATAAAGCTCAAAAGGGGGAACAAAACCTGATGTGGGGGCTAGTGGTCCTGCTTCCCCCTCATAAGGCTCATGGAATGGGATGCAATGCCTGGTAGAGGCCTATGAGGTCGGGGGGGGCTGGTGGTGCTGCAGTCCTGCCCCAGGGTTCAAGGGTGAAGCAGGGTCCTCTCCATCAAGGTGTTCTTTGGGGTCCCAGGGCCTGCAAGGTGATGGCAGAGTGCAGGTGATGGCTTGCCCTTGTCCCCGGGCGGGTGGGGCAGTGGTGTGCTGGCCTCAGTGCCAGTACAGAGCGCAGCTTTGCAAGGGGCTTCTCACAAATGTCTCTTTCACAGGGTGTCACGCAGCTGAGCAGCGCTTGTGTTTTGTAGGTAGTGAGAAACAAGGACGGCGGCACTGTGCTTGACGGTGGTGATGCTTGCATCTTGCTTTGTTCTCCCCTGATCAAAGCCATGCAGATGGATTTATTCCAGTAACTTTCAGTCATATTTCAGGTGAGGAGATGAAATACTAATCCCCTACGATTTTCTTGCCTTACTTTCAGCTGTTCTTCCTAGAGAAGTAAAGAGTTCTGTCCTGCTTCCTGCAGCACTCCCCCCCCAGGCTGCGCTAGAGCCCTACAGCATCTACACCCGTGCTCCAGAAGCTTTTTAAGCTTTTTAAGCTCTCAGCTTTTTAAGACAGAGGATGTTTGCGGGTTCTGCCCCCCACCCCCAAGAAATGCGCTCAGTTTGCAAGGAAGTGACTTTTTTTTTTTTTTTTTTAAAGCTACCTGAGCAGCCTGGTGCCTGAGCATGTGGTTTGCCTATCACTAGCATCAGAATTTGGACTGGGAGGTTTGCTTAATTCAAAGCAGAATATAGGCTTGAATTAAGCTATCGTGCTTCTGCAGAACCAGTGTCAGAATAAGCAAAGTTTCTAGTATACTGTTGGTGGCAGAGAAACCATACGCGTGTAGAAGCAGGGCTGATGAAAAGTGTGTTAAGTGTTTTACAGTTACTCATGTAGATAGAGCAGAAAACACATAAAAGTGAAAAGCGAGAGAACTTTGGAAGATTGGTTACCATGAGCTGACTGCAGCAGAAGTACCTTCTGGTGCATGCTTTCTGTCAAATTATTTTTGTCTAGCTTTGGGCAAAAGGGTGACTGCTGCTCTTCTCTGTTTGCTCTCGCAGGTTTGGACAGACCTTTGACAGGATGTTGGGATTTCTGAAGAACCCGGTTGTGGTTACTGCGGAGATAAATGTGAACCTTGTGGCGTTAACTGTGATGGGATTAATAAGCCGTCTTTGGGGGCTTTCCTATCCACGGGCTGTAGTGTGAGTAAAATAGTTTTATTTCCTACTTGAACGACACAAACTTTTCCTTTTTAGACATTTGTGAATAAGAATGCAGGAGTGGAAGAGCAGAGCTTGCCTGATGTCAGCCTCTTTAAATACAGTGATAGTGTTTCCCTAATAGAAACTCCTGAGGGGAAGGTAAGGAGGCAAATCCACCCGTGCTTCATTGTGTTCTTAGCCTTTTGCCAACAAGTCAGTGTTTCCTTCCCTAGTATCCCCATAGCCTGCAGGATACTTCCAGTTAGACTTGACATGTTTCTGCCTCTTGTGTTTCAGTTTTGATGAAGTGTATTATGGTCAATTTGTTTCCCTCTACATGAAGAGAATCTTCTTTGTGGATGACAGCGGCCCACCTTTTGGCCACATGCTGCTAGCTTTGGGAGGTAGGGGTCTCCTGAAATTCAGAAGTGTCTATTGCCTCTTGCTCCAGAAGAGAGAAGCGCTGGTTAGAAAGGAGTTGTCAGGTCCTGTTACTGGGGAAAAGCTGAAGGCAGCTGAGATTCTGATGTAGAGAGAATTAGGCTTTCCCTTCTTTAATATTGCTAGGGGGCTATTGCATAAGTACCAGGGAGGTGATGGAGCCATGTATCCATTACCTCATTGCTATCCAGTCCTTTGGATAAAGAGAAAGGTAAGATGAGAACTGCTAGTGACTAGAAATAGCAAGCAACAAGCGGACTTTCAGGCCTGAGTTCCTTTCTGTAGCTGAGATACGCACAACATAAAAGCGTCTGTATGGGAAGGAGAGATTAAATATACATGTAACTTTGTCGCTGAGAATCTGTTGTTCCCAATTCGTGTTCTTTGTGCCTCTGCACATTATCAAGCACTGCTGCAGGCAAAACAGTGTAAAAGAGGACTTTGGGGGAAGAGGGCTTTCATGTGTGGAAAAGCTATGTGTTTGGGAAATGATTCCAGGACCAATTTAGCACCAGTTTTTATACTTGTTTGGAGACTGGAAATTCTGAATTGTTGCTTACGTTGTAGGTTACTTAGGAGGATTTGATGGAAACTTCTTATGGAACAGGATTGGAGCTGGTAAGAACTGATTTTAACTGTCTCATTCTTCTGAGAAATAAGCAGTATTTCAGCATCTGACAGATTCGTTTTGCCTGACTAGTGGAAATAATGCTTTATCTGAAACCTTCACTTCTCTCTTAAATAAGTCTTCTGCCTGTCTCTAACAGAAGTTTAAGGCATTATGATTCCATAGTACAGATTTTTTAAATTGGTTAAAACAGTTTAAGGAGTACAAGATGGACAAGAAATTACTAAGAGTAGGAGTTAGATTCAACAACTTGTGGTCATAAGGAGTTGTGTATTGATCCATCTTCTCTGCAGTTAATAGTTTTCAAGTTTGTGCATCACTGTTGCCCTCTATTTCAGAATACAGCATGAACGTTCCTGTTCGGTCCTTGCGACTCCTGCCAGCACTGGCTGGTGCTCTCTGTGTTCCTTTAGCATACCAGATTTTGGTAGAACTGCGGTTTTCCCACTGTGCTGCACTTGGAGCTGCTCTTCTGATTCTCTTAGGTAAGATTATTCTCTTGGGCCCCATTCTTCATGCAGGGGGAGAAGGGTCCCTTTTCCCCTTGTGAATTTTTAGGGCACATGAAAGGCTGGACTAGCATCTCCCCACAGAATGCTAACAACACATTGGAGCCTACTTTCAGCCCTGGCCTGTATCAGTCTCTGTTGTCCTCTCTGGTCCCCTCTATCCTTACAGCTCTACAGCAGTCTGCCATTCAGGGCTGAGGCTTTATACACATTCATTTCATTACTAAGCAAAGTGGGCAGCTGTAACAGCCTCACAGAAAATCACGTTTCTTGTATCCAAGGAGGCCTGTACTCTCTTCCTCGAGGTTTACAGGATGAGTTACCACATACTGGTTTTTAACAGCAGGACGACCCTACTTGCAGTCAGAGCTCATCACATTTCTTCATCTCCAAACTGCAGCAAACCAATATGTGTTATGATTTGACACTGTTCTGGTGTGTATAAGGCAGTTTTGGTTTTGTTTTTTTTCTCTGAGGGTCTACTGGCAGCTGCCTGAAATGGAAAGAGCCTCTCAACAGCCCTTTAGTAGTCTGATAAGAGAAACCTCTCCTAGCCACCAGCTGCTCTGATTCTGGCTCAGGGAATCCTGCAGAAAGGAGCTCGTTGCAGCTCCCCTTCCTGAAGACTTGTCATCATGCTCATTGCCTGCTGGGGTCACTGCCTTGACTCTCTTTGCCTTGAGAAGCACTTCTCTGGATTTCCCTGTATTGATTTTCTTTGCCTTTGTAGGCAAGCACAACACCTTTATTTGCCTCCTGCTAGACTTTACTACTTGCCCACCTCTTTGTCCTTGGAGACAGTTATGGCCATGTACTTTGCTCCTGATGGAAAGTTTTTGTCCCTTTAAACCCAACACCTCCCTATTACAGCCAGTAAGACTGCAAATGAATGGGCTGTCCTTAAAGGGGCAGGTCCTTCTGTTGGATAATGATGTGATTGTCTGAGGTAGTACTTGCCTATAGAAAAGTTTCTCTAATTTTGTGTCTGTCTCTCTTTTCTGACAGAGAACTCTTTGATCACTCAGTCAAGGTTCATGCTCCTGGAATCAATATTGATTTTTTTTATCCTACTCGCAGTTTTGTCCTACCTGAAGTTCTACAATTTGCAAAGACACAGGTAAAGCCGGATTGTCTCCTATCCTTTTGGATATTCTTGTGACTCTTTTTTGATCACAGACTGTGTGTGGTCTTTTTCTCTAAGTCATTTTACCGTTGTGCAAGTCACTTAATCTATCTGTAAGATCCAATGCTTTGACTATGGATGCCCCAGAAGTGTTTTCTTCTGAGCAGTGTTAAAGACTGCTTTAACAGGTAACAAGGTTGTCTGTCTTATTTTACA